TTAACCCAAAGTATTAATACCTTTTACCATCAAAAAACTATTTTGTATTTTGTAAAAATAAAAGCAGAGTCCGGGCGTGGTGGCTCAAGCCTGTAATCCCAGCACTTTGGGAGGCCGAGGCGGGTGGATCACCTGAGGTCAGGAGTTCGAGACCAGCCTGACCAATACGGTGAAACCCCGTCTCTACTAAAAATACAAAAATTAGCTGGGCGTGGTGGCGCATGCCTGCAATCCCAGCTACTCCGGAGGCTGAGGCAGGATAACCGTTTGAACCCGGGAGGCGGAGGTTGCAATGAGCCGAGAACCCGAGTCTGTCTCAGAAAACAAAACTAAACAAAACACAAAAGACAAAACTCGGAGCTGGCGGGGGCCGGGGCAGGGGGTGGGGAGAAAGAAAGCGAAATCTGTTCCTTGGCTTCCCGGAGCCAAGGTTTCACCACTTTCGAGGTCTCCAGGTCCGCAGCCGCCTGTAGCCCCCGGCACCGCCCCTTTGGAAGCTTGGGAGGACTGTGTGTTGCGAACGGGGGCGGATACTCTCGGTCGCCGCGGAGGTCCACATCTTGTTCGCAGGGAAGGTTTACTCCCCCATCGTGGGTGACCGAGGGACTGAGGGCTCGGCCGGTTTCGCTCTGCTGGGGGCAAGGCACGCTCTCTCTCCCCACCCTTCCCGGTTCCCTCAGACAGTCTCGGCCTTGAGGAACACCCTTCGCCTCCGGTCCCGCAGCCGACCTTCCTCCGCTCCCCACGCCCTCCCCGGAGGACCCCGCTGTCACTCGCGATGCTCCGAAGACCCGGGAACTGGGCGAGGAAGGCGGTGGCCGCCTTTTTCCAGCTGGGGTGAGTCATTTCCTGCGACAGGCTCCCTCCCCCGGAAGTAGGGCCCGATGTAAACACCCGAGCCGGGCTCCAAGGCCCGGGAGGTCAGAAAACCGGGCCGCGGGCGGCACCGACAGCTGGGGCCCGGGTCAGGGACACGCGGAGGTCAGGCCGGTGAAGGCGGCAGGAAGCTGGAGCACGATCCCAGGGTTGGTTGGGGTCTGGGGGAGGCTGGGAGTCTTTCGAGTAGGGGTCTAAGGCAGAGGTCTTGAGTGGGTGCTGGCGTTGGAAGGAGCATGCGGCTGGTCTTGGGAGAGGGGCGAGGCATCCCGGACACAGTTTGGGGTGGTGCGGGCATTTGGAATGGAGGTGCAAAAAAGGGGTCTTGAAAGTTGGAGCTGTCCAGAGAATAACTCTAAGGCAGAGCTGTCCAAAGAAAGAGCATGAGGCATTCCAGTGGAGGGTGTAACTGATTAAGATTTGGGCTCTTGGAGGATGGGGAGGGAGCGTGTCTGGCCAGAGGTCTTGGGGAGTTGAGGGTTTGAAGGGAAGTTGGGGGGCTCTATGGCAGTAATCTTAGTAGGGGACTGTGCAGGCATCTTAGGGGTTGAGGTTCTCCTAGGTAGGAGTTTTGGGTGGTTTGTTTTGGGCAAGCGTCTTAGAGGGTAAGGGTGCCCTGAGGCAGGGTCTTGGATAGGGGTCTAGAAGGGAATCTTAGGAGGATGGGTGGGGTTCCTGGGGTTGGGTCCAGGCCAGGTTATGTTGTAGTCAAGGACAGCAGAACACAAGGAAGATGATGTCCTGGGGTGGAAAATTTAGAGTGCTAGGGGGAATCCTAGGGTAGAGTCCCCAGGGCATAAGCCAATCTAGGGAAGTGTCTAGGCTGGCCCTGATGGGTAGTTACCAAGGCATGAGAAGGGGTCATCCCAAGGTAGGCATCCTGAAGGGGTTTGGGGAAGCTGGTGAGGGGGAAAGGTGAGAGAGGACTCTGGGGTGGTCGAATAGGTTGGGGTAGAGTTAGAAGGGTAGGAGCAGAGGAGTTCCTGGGGATGGCAGACCAAGCATAGCAGTCTCAGGGCCAAGTCAGGGAGGTACAAGTGGATCTCCTAGCCCACTTTTGTCTATTTATTGACAGAGTCTGGTGCTAGGTCAGGTGTGAAGATGAGAAATGGGTTGGGAGTGGTTCCAGGCCATGTCTGGCATTGGGATCAAGATTGGCTGGGGGTGGGGAAGATATCACAGGGGCACCCCCTATCACATTACTTCCTGACAAGTCAGTGAGGACCAGCATGTAAAAAGGAGGTGTGGGGTCCACGTCAGTGTGGGCCTGGAGCTTGCCAAACCTGAAAGAGGGAGGGTTCCTGGCCATGCTGTTTGGGATCTTGGGAGCTTAGAGCAGAGACCCTGAGACTCTCTCTGTTTTTATCTTCTTTTTTTTCCCCCCAGACGGAGTCTCACTCTGTCACCCAGGCTGGAATGCAATAACTCGATTTCGGCTCACTGCAACCTCTGCCTCCTGGGTTCAAGTGATTCTCCTGCCTCAGCCTCCTGAGTAGCTGGGATTATAGGTGTGCCCCACTACACCTGGGTAATTTTTTATTTTTACTAGAGACGGGATTTCACCATGTTGGCCAGGCTGATCTAACTCCTGACCTCAGGTGATCCACCCACCTCGGCCTCCCAAAGTGCTGGGATTACAGGCATGAGCCACCACACCCAGCCTGTTTTTATCTTTTTTGCAGTCAGTCCAGAGTCAGTAGTTAGCAGAGTGGGAGGAGGAGGAAATCAGGTGAGGCAGAACTTGGAGGGGAGACTCCAGGACTCTTCTCATCTTTATCCCATTTGTATCCAGGGGAACAATCCTGGACCATGACTCAACAGCCACTTCGAGGAGTGACCAGCCTGCGTTTCAACCAAGACCAAAGTGAGAGAGGCTTGGGCCTGTACCCTTGTGGGAGGGAGCAAGGGAAAGAGGGGTCAGAAGTGGGCCATGGGCCCCCAGCTTCCTACCTGGGCATTCTTTAAGGCAGTCTGGATTCCTTCCATCCCCCAGGCTGCTTTTGTTGCGCCATGGAGACAGGTGTGCGCATCTACAACGTGGAGCCCTTGATGGAGAAGGGGCATCTGGGTGAGCTGTTGGCAGGGCAGGGGCAATGGGCAGAAGAGCTGGGCTGGGCATTGGTTCCTACCTCCACTGACACCCTGGTCCCTGTCCAGACCACGAGCAAGTGGGCAGCATGGGCTTGGTGGAGATGCTGCACCGCTCCAACCTTCTGGCCTTGGTGGGCGGTGGTAGTAGCCCTAAGTTCTCAGAGATCTCAGGTAAGTGCCCTCATCCTGCCCTTTGGCCCAGATTTCTCGGATTCCTGGCCTCCCACAGGCACCCCAAGGTACTGGCAGATGAAGATGTCAGAGTACTTCAGAGTCACACAGTGAGGAGGCCTACAGCTTGGAAGTCATGGATCTTATAGCTTGAGAAGCTTGGTGCTTTGTTTTCATTTTTAAAATGCTGATTGAGTGCCTCCTGTGTGCCATGCCCTAGAGCACTTACTGTGAGCCTGGGACTGCCCTAAGCACTTTACATATATTAACTCATTTAATCCTCACAGTAACTCTATGGGGTAGGAAGGATCGTTATCCCCATTTTTACCAATGAGGAAACTGAGGCCCAGTGCAGTTAAGTTGACTCATCCAAGGTCACACAAGCAATAGGTTTTAAAATCTTGGAGCCGTCTTCCCAATACCCACTTGGCTTGAGCCTCAAGTGCCATCTTGCTTTAAGGATTTTTCTTGCTGATCCCCTCTGGACAGGGCAGGAGTCACCCTAGGTGAGTCACAGAGCCCTAGGATTCCTCACAGAAATCTCCAGGGTGCATGGACTAGGACCCTGGAGGCAGAAATAGTTACCCAGGGGAAGTTACAGGTCTGAGTGTGAGTCCCTGTTTGGTTGCTGATGGGCTTTGAGGTCCTTGGCCAGCACTCAACCACTTTGAACCTCAGTTTCCTCATCTGTAGATGAGTGTAATAGTCTAGAACACTCCTCTCAGGGATCATGTCCACAAGTGCTCGTACTGTGCGAGGATCTCACTGGGTGTTTATTGAAAGGCTAAGTAAGTAGGTTGAGGTCCCTGGGAAGCAGGGGTGGATCCTGTGTCACCAGGGCTGCCCCTTACCCTAAACCTTGGCCCCGACAACCCACCCACCTGCCCAGCAGTGCTGATCTGGGACGATGCCCGGGAGGGCAAGGACTCCAAGGAGAAGCTGGTGCTGGAGTTCACCTTCACCAAGCCAGTGCTTTCTGTGCGCATGCGCCATGACAAGTGAGCCTGAGGAGGACTGGGGTGGGAGGTAGGAAGTCCCCACAGCAAGTGAGAGGGATAGTCCTCCCTGGGCATCCCGCCGCCCCCTCACGGCCATCCTGTGTTGTGTGATACCCACAGGATCGTGATCGTGCTGAAGAACCGCATCTATGTGTACTCCTTCCCTGACAATCCCCGAAAGCTGTTTGAGTTTGATACCCGGGACAACCCCAAGGGTGAGAGGGCTCAGATACACAGGTGTAAGGACATGAAACAGTGGATGGGACAGAGGGGCAGAGATGAGGAAAGAAAGGAAGGGGCACACACACACAGAGAAATGGGGAAAGAGGCAGGGAGATGCTCACACTCACAGCCTCTCCATCTTTCCAGCCCTCAGCCAGTTCTCCCCACCTCTGGCCCTGCCCCACCCCTGGGTGCCCCAGTGACAGAGCAGAAACACCTCATGAGGACATGGGTGGGTGTGTCAGGGATCCCTGAGCCTCCTGGGGCTGTTATAGCAGCTTACTAGATTCCACAGCTGCAGAGCAAGGAATGGAATCTGCCTAGCTGGCAGGGCATGCAGCTGAGGTGAGCCCCCTCAGGGTTCTTTGGGTTAAGCTTATCATGAAGGGTTGAAGTCTGGTCCTCATCCAGCTCTGTCCATTCTGAGATGCTGCCTCCTCTTCAGCCGCCCACCCACCCTCATCTTCACACCCTAGGGCTCTGTGACCTCTGCCCCAGCCTGGAGAAGCAACTGTTAGTGTTCCCGGGACACAAGTGTGGGAGTCTGCAACTTGTGGTGAGCCGTCCAGTGGACAAGGGTGGGAAGGTTGGTGGACTGGCTTTCCTTGTGGACTCTTGGCCCCTTCCCTCCATACCACCTCAACCTCAGACTCCTCCCTCCTACCCCAGGACCTGGCGAGCACAAAGCCTGGCACCTCGTCTGCTCCATTCACCATCAATGCACATCAGAGTGACATAGCCTGTGTGTCTCTAAACCAGCCAGGCACTGTGGTGGCCTCAGCCTCCCAGAAGGGTACCCTTATCCGCCTCTTTGACACACAATCCAAGGAGAAACTGGTGGAGCTGCGCCGAGGCACTGACCCTGCCACTCTCTACTGGTGAGCACAGGGTATGCATGGTGGGCTGGTGACCCCATACCACATGACATGTGGGCATCACTGCTGATCTGTCTTCTAGCATTAACTTCAGTCACGACTCCTCCTTCCTCTGCGCTTCCAGTGATAAGGGCACCGTCCATATCTTTGCTCTCAAGGATACTCGCCTCAACCGCCGCTCCGCGTGAGTACCCCCTCCCCACCCTACCGTGTCCCTCCCTGTCCCCCTGCCCGTTTACCATACCTGGGCTTAGCCAGTGCTGCCTGCAGGCTGGCTCGCGTGGGCAAGGTGGGGCCTATGATTGGGCAGTACGTGGACTCTCAGTGGAGCCTGGCGAGCTTCACTGTGCCTGCTGAATCAGCTTGCATCTGCGCCTTCGGTCGCAATACTTCCAAGAACGTCAACTCTGTCATTGGTGAGTGGTAACAGCCCCTTGGTTGGGGGTACTGCATGGGGCAGAGGCCTGTAGGTTGGACCTGAAAGAATTTTAGGGCCACGTGAGGCTCAGCTTCATCTTCAGTAAGGGGGACAGCACTGGGCAAAGGCCTGGAGGCAGACCCTAGGTCCTGAGATACCTGAGAGGATTGGAACCTGTGGCTGTGGCAGCCTCTGACCTTTTACCACTCCCCCTCCCCCAGCCATCTGCGTAGATGGGACCTTCCACAAATATGTCTTCACTCCTGATGGAAACTGCAACAGAGAGGCTTTCGACGTGTACCTTGACATCTGTGATGATGATGACTTTTAAGGACCCTGGGGGCTGTGCTAGGGACCTGCAGTGGCAGACTGCAGAGCTGAGTCTTGGCAGTGGGGCGTGCTTGGAAGCCACCAGCCAGCAAGCATTAATGGGGCCGGTGCCCACTTTCTACTCAGCAGAGCTATGTCTAAATAAAGAGCTCAATTCCCCCCAGCACTTCTTGATGACTGTGTGCCCCAAGGGCTAGGCCAGAGACCCAGGAAGGCAGCGACCCCTTGGGATCCCTAACTTGGAGGAAATTGCCAGGGACCCAGAGGGAGTGCCCTAATCCAACCTGGAGATTTTTTAAAAGCTTCCTAGTAAGAGATGATTTCCGATGTGATGAATACGAATAAAAGGCCCTTAATGGCATTTACGGCTTGACCTCAGGAGCGGGGCATGGAGTTTCCTGGAGAAATGTGACCCTTTTGGACGCTGACAGGAGGTGGAATCCAACTCAGATCCTTGTGACAGTCCCTCCTTTCTTATCTGTCTAGCTACTTTGTGCTTGAGCCGCTGGCACCGCCCGGAACAGCCCCTGCGGCGCCCCGCGCGGGGGTGGATAGCAGTTTTAAGGGTTGGGAGCGTCTAGCCCGGCGGCCAAGGCTTGATTTCCCGGCAGCCTTTGCTGCTTTTCTGAGCGGCGTATTAGTTGCTTTTCCGGTCACGTGCATCGCCGCCCCTGCGCAATCCACCTAGGAGGTTAGGAAAATAGCTGCCCAGCCCAGACTCCATTTCCCGGTGTGCCCCGCGGTGGCGAGGGGCGTAACGGTTGTTGTAGTCCGGCCCCCTCCTGGCTGGTCCAGCCACATTAACCGGCAGGATGTCGGAGGTACGGCTGCCACCGCTACGCGCCCTGGACGACTTTGTTCTGGGGTCGGCGCGTCTGGCGGCTCCGGATCCATGCGACCCGCAGCGATGGTGCCACCGCGTCATCAACAACCTCCTCTACTACCAAACCAACTACCTTCTCTGCTTCGGCATCGGCCTCGCTCTTGCCGGGTGAGGGAGAGAGGCGCCGGTTGGCCGGGGACGTCTGCAGAGCGTGGGGGGTAGACCCACAGGTCTTTGAGGACCAGGACAGGGAACCTGAGTGGGGATGCAAGGCCGGGAAGGGCGAAGTCAGTAGAGATGGACGGCCTGAGGGGCTTGGAAGGGAGACCTTGAAGGAGGTGGAGCCTGGTTATAAGGAGGGCCTCAGGGAGATGGAGCCTGGCTGATGAGGAGGGCCTGCGGGGGATGGGGGTCTAGAGGGAAGATCTGGGGAAGATGGAGACAAGTGTGGGACGGAAGGGGAAAGTGGGCTGGAAGGTGAACCGGAAAAAAAGGAGGGCCCGAAAGGGGGACGTGAGAGTACTTGAGGGATGTGGTGGGGGGGGTAATGTGAATGATGGGGCCAGATTGAGGCCGACCCTGGAGTACTTAGGGCAGAGACCGGGAAATAGACGGTAAAGTTGGAGGGTTTGGAAGGTGTACTTATTGGGGATCCGGTCTTGGAGGGGAGCCTAGCTATGACTGGAAGGCGCCAGGGGCAGGTACCTGTTGGGGAACTTGGGCCCAGGAGGACGATCCATGGTTGGAAAGCGTGAGACCAGAGAGGGATGGAGAATCTGGAGGAGGGACTTGAGCAGTGCTAGAAGTTCAGAGTGGGGCTGACAACCTAGAAGAGGTTCTAGCAATGATGGAGGGAGGAATCTATAGGGAAATGGGAGCCTGGAGGGGGCATTGGGAGGGGAGGAAGCCTGGAGGGGGCTCCTATAAGGACCCTAGGCCTGGGGAGAGGGTAATGTGTGGAGACAGGCCTGGAAGAGGGATTTGCAGGGGCTGGGGTTAAAGAGGGAGCTTGCGGGCAGGCTGATGAGGGGCCCTGTGTGGGTAGAGTCGGAAGGAAAGTCCAGAGAAGTGTTGGGAGCCCGGGGGTGTGGGGAGTCTTCTCTAGCTGGATGGGAGGGCCTGAAGTGGGGACTTGAGGAAGACAGGACAGTGGAATTGACAGGGAGGAAAGGAGGGGTCTACGGGGGTGAGTCGGGAGCCCTGGCAGATAGGCCTGCTGGAGACAGGGCTGGTGGGAGGATGTGCCGAGCTGGAGTGTCCGGAGACGGGATACCCTGGCTCTTGGGGCCCAGGGTGGGTGGTGGTCCCGGAGGCCGTCTCTCCGCCCGGCCGGCTAGCTTAGTTCCCTTGTACCCGCAGGTACGTGCGTCCGCTGCACACGCTTTTGAGCGCGCTGGTAGTGGCGGTGGCCCTCGGCATGCTGGTGTGGGCAGCTGAGACCCGCGCAGCTGTGCGCCGCTGCCGCCGCAGCCACCCTGCTGCCTGCCTGGCCGCAGTGCTTGCCGTCGGCCTCCTGGTTCTCTGGGTCGTGGGCGGCGCTTGCACCTTCCTGCTCAGCATCGCCGGGCCGGTGCTTCGTGAGTCTCCACTACCCCGAGATAGCCAGGAAAGCGGCCAGAACATGCTTAAGGCACCAGGCCAGCCCTGTCCCGGTCCCCGGGTTGAGAGGGGGCTGGGAAACCCGAGGGCCTGACCACGCCCCCGCTAAAAGCGCCTTCCCGGACTTCGTTCCCCCTTCTGGGAACACCCCTTTTATTATCGCCTTTCCCATCTCACTCCTGGTGTTAAGTGCCTTCCACTGGCCACGTCCCCGTTACCGGGCGCCTTCCCTGGCCGTGCCCACGTTGCCAAGCCAATTACTCGGCCACGCTTTCAGTATCTGAGGCGTCCTGGCCGCTCACCACTCGATTGGCCTGCCTGCGCGCCAGTTCCCTTCGGTGGGCCCCGGTTGGCTGCAGGCTGAGGTCTATTCCACTGACCACCCCTCTCGGTGCCGCCCACAGTGATCCTGGTGCACGCCTCGTTGCGCCTGCGCAACCTTAAGAACAAGATTGAGAACAAGATCGAGAGCATTGGTCTCAAGCGGACGCCAATGGGCCTGCTACTAGAGGCGCTGGGACAAGAGCAAGAGGCTGGATCCTAGGCCCCTAGGATCTGTACTCAGGACCTGGAGAATACCACCCCACCCCCAGCCCATAATTGGGACCCAGAGCCCTTTCCCAGCACTTAAAACAGGAGCCTAGAGCCCCCTGCCCAAACAAAACAGGACATCTATGACCACCCTACCCCCACGCCAGCCCCAAACTAAGATATCCCTCACACCCAGCCCCCATAACCTAGGGACAAGAGTCTTCCCCAGCCCTGAACCTAGAACCAAGAGCCACCTACATCCAGCCCCAACACTGGGGCTTCAGGCCACAGCATCCATGGCCAATTTCAAATTGTGAACCCAGAGACACTCCCATCCACCCTTCTCCATGCTCAGCCCCAAACTGGGGCCTGAGGCAAAGCACTCTCAAATCTTGAATCCTGGACCAAAGCTTTTCCAGACCCTACCCTACCTTCCAACCCAGGTCAAGACATTGCCAAATCTTGAACTCAAAACCCAAGTGTTCCATGCCCCTGTGTGGATGGAGTTGGGTATCCTGACTGTTGGACCCCTGGTCCCAGGTGATCCCGACCCTCACCAGTCCCACTTGCCTCCCTCCAGCTCTGCTTAGGGATTTTGCCCCTCACCCCAATGTTCCACACCATTGACGACCAAGGGGTGAGGTGGGGACAGGCCTCAGCAGGGAATGGGGCATATATGTTAGTGTTGCTGCAACAATAAAGCCTGTTGCATCTCTCACGCCAATTTGAGCCTCCTGGGTAAAGTTCTTATACATTTCAAAGGACAGAAGTAGCCTTCTACTTTTCAATTCTGCTAGACTTTTCCTGAATATGCAGGCTGAAGAGGTGATCTCTGAGGCCCTTCCTTGAAACTTACCTCTGGATCAGCATTAAAGCACAGGGAAGGACAGGTGTGGTGGCTCATGCCTGTAATTCCAACACTTTGGGAGGCTGAGACTAGAGGATCACTTGAGGCTAGGAGTTTGAGACCAGCCTGGGCAATATAGCAAGACTCTCTACAAAAAAATTAAAATTTAGCTGGGCATGGTGGTGTGCTTTTGTAGTCCCAGCTACTTGGGAGGCTGTGGCAGGAGGATGGCTGGAGCCTAAGAGGTAGAGGCTGCAGTGAGCTGATTGTGCCACTGCACTCCAACCTGGGCAACAGTGAGAACCTGTCTCAAAAAGCTGGGCATGGTAGCACTTTGGGAGGCTGAGGCAGGAAGACTGCTCAAGCCGAGGAGTCCGAGACTAACCTGGGCAACATAATGAGACCCCATCTCTACAATTTTTTTTTTTTTTTTTTTGAGACAGAGTCTTGCTCTGTCACCCTGGCTGGAGTGCAGTGGCGTGATCTCGGCTCACTGCAATCTCTGCCTCCTGGCTTCAAGTGATTCTCCTGCCTCAACCTCCCGAGTAGCTGGGATTATGGGCATGTGCCACCACGCCCAGCTGATTTTTTGTATTTTTAGTAGAGACGAGGTTTCACTGTGTTAGCCAGGATGATCTCAATCTCCTGACCTCGTGATCTGCCCGCCTTGGCCTCCCAAAGTGCTAGGATTACAGGCGTGAGCCACCGCGCCCAGCCTACTTTTTTTTTTTAATTAGTGGGTATGGTGTGGTGCACAACTGTAGTTTCAGCTATTCAGGCAGCTGAGGTGGGAAGATTGAGTCCGGGAGGTCAAGGCTGCAGTGAGCCGTTATTGCGCCACTACATTTCAGCCTGGGCAACACTGTGAGACATTGTCTCAAAAAAAAAAAAAAAATTAAAAACAATGCATAGGGAGGTTAAGGACAGAGTCTTTGTTATCATCATTTATATTACCAAGAGTTATTGTTTGAGGTTGGCTAGAAATCTGAGTGCAGACAAGCAAAGAAGTTGCCCCACATCACAAAGCAAGTAAAGTCAAAACATGACACTATCACAGGCTATTCCCAAGGTATGTTTTTTTCCTGTAAAAAATATATTATCTGGTCTTGACTAGAGGTGTGGGCCCTCAAGGTGAGGCAGATAGAGCAGCAGCAACACATGGGTTCAGTTTACACATTTATTATACAAATCCCCTTCCAGTGTGGATAATGTCTTGGGCCCAGATCCACTGGTATAAAAAGAAAAGTTTAACACCAGGAAAAGGGGGTAGGGGAACCCCCAGCTCCGAAAGTCACAGACAGGTATCATAGAAAACACAATTTGTGTGGGTTTGCTTAAAAAGTGGTGGATGGGGGCTGGGTGCAGTGGTTCACGGCTGTAATCCCAGTGCTTTGGGAGGCCAAGGTGGGCAGATCATGAGGTCAAGAGTTCAAGACCAACCTGGCCAATATGGTGAAACTTTGTCTCTACTAAGAATACAAAAATTAGCTGGGTGTGGTGGCGTGTGCCTGTAATCCCAGCTACTCAGGAGGGTGAGGCAGGAGAACCCAGGAGGCGGAGGTTGCAGCGAGCTGAGATTGTGCCACTGCACTCCAGCCTGGCGACAGAGCAAGACTCCGTCTCGAGGAAAAGAAAAAAAAAGCGGGGGGGTGGATGGAAGGAAAGCCAAGGAAGGTGTGAGTGGTGAGTGGCCCGTGGCCCGCAGCCTGTAGCCAGACCTCACCTGAGGATTTTACTGGCATCTACCGGTGCCAGGTCTGGTAGATGCCAGGTTCAACCCCCATAGGATCCCAGGACACGGCACACCTGATGGCTCTGCCCTTTGCCCCTCCTGTGGGGCCTCCTGACTGGGGGTGGTCAGGGCAGAGGCCATGGGCACAGACAGGGTTGGACTCCTTCAGGCATCCCACCCAGACTGCAGTCCTTCCAAGCGTGGGCAGAGAGCCCAATGCCCCAACAACTGCCCTGGCGATGCGTGGCAGGGATTTCTGTTCACACCAGAGTCTCCTGGCTGCCCTAAATGGCCCTGAGACCCGATATGGTCCATTTTATGGAGGGGGTTACTGAATGGAACCCGGTTGGGCATGGGAACAGGAATGAACCCAACCAGATGAGATCAAGTTTCCCTTTTATAAAACGTCTAGTGTTGGAGGAAGACAGTGAATACCTAAGTCACAACTGTAAACATAAATGGATGAAGGGGCTTGGGGTCCCCATGACATTATCCTCTCTCTTTTAAGCTGGCTGAGGGCCCCCAGTCCCCAGCACAGTGTGAGAGAAGAAGCAGGGTGTCAGACACCTTCCTGGGCCTACAGGGAGCCAGGGGCCTTGGAAGATTAGGTTGGCGCACTGCACTCAGGACAGAGCAACCACACCCCAGGGCCCAGCGAGGTCAGCTATGTGCTCCCCAGATTGGAATCGTGCCCAAGCCAACAAGGGACATATCAGAAGGGGTCAGACCAGTGTCCCCGGGGTCTGGGTGTCAGAACTGGAGGACTGCTCCCCCTCTAGCGTCAGGTCACTTAAACGAGCGCTCAGCTCCGGGGGATACAGGAAGTCCGCGTAGTATCTTTAGAAGGGGTAGCAGGAATCCGGAGGACAGGGCGGGGAAGACAAGAAGAGGAAAAGACAGACAAGACACATAAAAAGAAAGGAAAAGAGGCTCGTTAAAGAGGTGGAGGCAGGCACAGGACAGCACTTTCAGGCTCCAGGGCATGGAGAAACAAGGAAGAAAACGGCAAGGGGCATGAGATGTCCCTTCCTCCCAGCACCCTGGCTTCAAGGCTCATCTTCAGCCTATAACTTGATAAAGAATTGCTGCTACCAGTGCCCAAGATCCCCTCCACCAGGACCCCATGGACTAATGCAGGTCATGTGCAGTAGTGACCCTGTGCCATCACGGCAGCTAGTTTCCTCATGGTCCAATTCATTAGCTATCATGACTAGCCACTCCCTGGCCTGGATATCTTCGCCATCTGCCTTAAGAGACCCCTACCCATCAGTAAAAGCACCCCCCATACCTGCCAGAGACAGGGGGCGCCGTGAAACTCCTCGAGTGTGGGAGTGGCGCTTGGCTGGGGGCCCCGTACAGCGCCTGGCCCACCTCATAGCAGCGGGCATGGAGGAAGGGTGGGTGTGGCGGGCCCACGGAAGGGAGCACAGGCCGGCGCTGGGGCCCCGCGGCCAGTCCCGAGTTCCGGATGTACCAGTCCCGCAGCCCCTCCAGAGCCAGGTTCTTGTGGCCACTGCGTTCACCAGCCGAGGGGATACGGGTGGGTGGGGGCATCCACAGCAGAGGGTTTGGATGCACCTCAGGACCCTCGGCAACCTCTGGGGGCAGGCCACAGGGCTTGGTGCGGGTGGCACGGGTGTGGGGGTCCTTGGTGCGGAGGAGGGGGCTGTTGCTGTCAGTTGCATACACAGGTGGTGGGCCGGGGAGCATGGTGAGGAGCCCATCCCGGCGGGAGAGGGGTCCTGGGACCTCAGCGGCAGGCAGCAGCTCCCCCCAGCCTGCTCCACCACCACTGCGGGGCAGACCCCGGTCCAAGGAATAGTCCAAGAGGAAGTCCCCACACACAGGTGGGAGCCGGGGGGCACCTCGGGAGGCAGGGGCAGCTGAGCTAGGCCGGGCGGCCCGGGGAGGGTCTGGGGGGCCTGCTGTGCGGGAGGAGAAGGCAGAGGTTGGTTGGGGGCGCTCATACAGCACCTCACTGCTCTTGCAGACTGGGGGGCCAGAGGCAGAGGGAGCCAGAGGGGTGGGCGGGGAGCCAGCTCCCCCACCAGCAGCCCGGTCCACCAGCAGGGCCTCAGAGCTATTGCTGCGGCGGGTGCGAGCTACGAAGAGGGAGGCGCGATCGGAGGCAGGGTCCGCCCGGGGGAAGCCCATCTGGGAGTCCTGGCTGCCGGACCACTGACGAGAATGAAGGCCTTCAGGTCTGAAGTGAGAGGCGAGGGTCATGGGAATAGGGTAAGAAAAATCAGGCAGAAGGCGTGCAGTGCCCTCCCTACCCCACCCCTTTCTGAGCCTTCACTTTCACATCTCCAAATGGGCCCAGGGTTGGAAGCTGTGTGTATAAAGGTGGCAGGTAGTGACATGTGAAGGGCGGCTGAGGTTCTGTCCTAGGCTAGGGGGTCGGGGGTAGAAATGCGTGGGGGAGGCCTGGCACTGTTAGCTCCAAGAGAGGTGTAAATCTGTGTAGGGACTCAGAGGAAAGGCTAGCAGAGTAGGTGCCGGGCAGGGGGCTCTTCCTAATCCAGCTGACCCCTCCCCATGCTAAGGCCCTTCTCACGGCTCCCACGGCCTCCAGGATTGAGTCCTAGGCCTTAGGGCCCACACGTAAAACCCTGCCTGAATTCTCTATCCAACCATATGTATGAACCACCCAAAGCTACCATCCCAACAGCCACCATTCACAGAATGCAAGCCCCATAAGGGCGGGGACTTGGTTTTGTTCAGAGCCTGGGGAAAGTAGGCACTCTGTTTAAGAAGCAGAAGAGGACAATGGTTAAAAGCATGGACTCGAGAGTAAAACTTGCCTGGGCTCAAACTCCAGGACTTCAGTTTACTAACAAGTTACTTAACCTTTCTGTGCCTCATTTGCCTCATCTATAAAATGGGAATAACAATAGCACCCACCTCACAGGGATCTCATTATGATTGAATGAGTTGGTGCCACTAATTCCTAGCAGGTGGCAGGCACTCAGTATATGTTAACCAGAACTTATTATGTCCATATTTTTCAAAGGCAGATACTATCATTTCCATTTCACAAATGAGGAGACTGATTCAGAAAAAGAGAATGGCTTGTCCAAAATGCACAGAAAAGCCCATACTCAAAACTTTGATGCTTCTGCCCCATATCCCTACCCCATTATCCACCGAGATGCCTGCTCATTTTTAACTCCCAGCCTCCCATGTCCCACATCTTTTGTTTTTATGTTTTGAGACGGAGTTTTGCTCTTTTCGCCCAGGCTGGAGTGCAATGGCACAATCTTGATCTCAGCTCACTGCAACCTCTGCCTCCCAGGTTCAAGCGATTCTCCTGCCTCAGCCTCCCAAGTAGCTGAGATTACAGATATGCCCCACCATACCCAGCTAATTTTTGTATTTTTAGTAGAGATGGGGTTTCACCATGTTGGTCAGGCTGGTCTTGAACCCCTGACCTCAAGTAACCCGCCCACCTCGGCCTCCCAAAGTGCTGGGATTACAAGCATGAGCCACCGCGCCCAGCGATCCCACACCTTTTGATAATGCCGTCCTCAAGCTTCCAGTGAGAACTAATGGTTCCCTCCCCTCTGATCCTCCAGGCCACCCTCAGATTCCCCTTACTTGCAGAGCTGGGGGCCAGCGCCCCGGGTGAGGACTGGGGTGGCAGGCACACTTCGCCCCTCAAAACTGGAGGCACTCCTGGGCAGCGAGCGTGTGGGGCTAGACAGAGACAGGCAGGCCTAGGTTAGAGGCTGTACCCACCAGCAGACCCTCTGCCAGCCCAGGCTTACTATCCCATTCCCAGCTCCTGCGGAGGGGAGGAGGGGCTCATTCTCACCTGGTGGGGCTGGCCACAGAGTTCCGTCGGCTCTTCAGATCCCCGTAAAGATCTGATGGGGGTGGTTTCCATGGGGTTCGCCGCTCAGGGCTCCCCCCGGATACTGCCCGCAGCTGGTCCCAAGCCTTGGGTGGTGAGGGGCGCTCGGCCAGAGAGAAACAGCCATGGGGCTCCTCTGAGTGGAAGAGAGCAAGTGGGATAGAATTCAATGAGGGGGGCCCAGAGGGGGCAGGACAGGCTCGTGGGCAAGGCCATGGGGAGGGGCAAAGTGCTGGGACAGGTTAAGCAGACTGAGGAGGAGCTAAGGCTGACGAGTAGGTTCTGGGGCTGTGGGGCTGGGGGTTGGGGTGGGGTGAGGCTAAGAAGATGGGGGACCTACAGGAAGATAGAGCATGTCTAAGGAGAAGCTGAAGCAGCACAGGAGGGGCTGGGCATCAAAGGATGGGCTGATCATGCAGGATGTGGTCGGATGAATAAAGGGGATGGGCTGAGGGGACATAGGAGTCGGGGGCAGGTTTGGGGGACAGGAGTCCTCACCGTTGTCATGGCTGGCCCCAGACTCTGAGAGGGAGCTGCTCTCTGAGTGCAGAACTACGTCCTCTATAGGTGAGAGGGGGAGAAGTGGGCCTCTCACTCCCAGGCCTGGGTGCCGCCCCCTTACACCACTGGGTGGGCACCTCTACTTGGGCCACCTTCTGGCCAGTTTCCGCCTCATCCTGTTCCCTTCCCAAGAATCTGCTTTTACCAGAGCCCAAGACCACCCCAGCTTGGTTCCTGACTGTCCCGGCAGATATTCATCAGTCTCCCACAGTTTGTCCTTTCTGGTAAGCCAGTTTGTCACAACTCTTCTCACGGGTTTGGCCACTTGAGTTGTGCCTACCTCCCGGTTTTCACTGGCCACTCAGCCATCCCAGCCCTACCACGTTCATTTGCCAGTGTCCACTCTCCCACCCTCACCAGGGGATGCTCACCTTGGCTGAGCTGAGTGAGGCGCATGCCCAGGCAGACTCCCTGGGCGGTGATCACTGACCCCGTGGACAGTGGCAGTGGCTGGGGCAGCGGGAGCACTGGGAGGCCAAGGCGGGCCCGGACATCCCCGAGCTGCTCCTCTAGCTCGTGCAGCCTCCTCAGTGCGTCTGCCTGGACCTGGCGACGGCGACGGCGCTGCTCGGTGCTCAGATCAGGGGCCAGGGCCAGGCGACGGGCAGCTGCCGCGATCTGCTGCTGCACTGACACCTCACGCTCCAGGGCCTCAAGAGCCAGCTCCTGTCGGGCCCACCCAAATGTTGGAAATGGCCAGGAACAGGGACCTGGCGGGGCCAAACCCACTAGAGGCTGGCCTGTACTTCCTGCAGCCTATTCAGGCCTATTCACCTACAGGTGGAGCTTATTCACCTGGGGGAGGGGGCGGGTCAGGGCCTCTCGGTGAAGGGCTGGGTCGATTCATCTTCCTGAGGGTGGGAGGCCTGTCCTGACAGTTAGGGACCAGCATCCTCCCTCATTGCAGGAACCTACCTCCAGAAGCCCTTTTCCTTCTCAGTTTAGCCTTTCCCTCACCTGGCCACAAGCTCCCTCACCTGGCCACAAGCCCCCTCCCCACACCTTCCTCCTGGCTACTCCTCTGTACCTGTCCCCTCTCCCCACCCTCTTGCTCTCCACACCCATCTGCTCACCTCAGCAGGGCACAAGGAGTGGTGTGCTTGGTTGGGGTGCGGTGGAGGGTAGGCACGGGCTGTGGGGGGCCGCCGGCGGACCAACTGGGGCCGTTCACCAGGCTCTAGTGGGCACTCAGGGGGCAGCTGGCCAGTCAGCTCCTGGTGGGAGGCAGGGGTCAGAGACTACCAAGGGTTAGTTGGAAGGATGGGGTGAAGCATTAATGATCCCAGAAGCCACAGAAGTCCTACCAGGAGCCTGGCCCGGCTCAGCACCCACGCATGATACTCCCCTCCCAGTATCTCCACCAGGCAGGTGTGCCCAAACTTCAGTGGCCCAAACCCCTGGGGTGGTGGGCATGGGAGGCAGGGAAACCTGCTTTGGAATCCAGAATTGTTTTGTTTTTATAAAGGGGACACTATTGAGATCCTAAGTATTACATAACTCCCTTCAGGGGCTGTGGCTGCATGGTCTGAGCTATAGTATTATTTCTGGCACACTGTGGGCATTCACAGTAAGAGGGGTAAACTGAAACTACAGATCACCCTGTGCCAGTTCAGGTCAGACTGTGCTGCCAAATTTTGGACAGAACCTGTTTTCTGAAGTTTGTTGGATTTGAAATAGTCAACAGTGGGCCTGTATTACCATATTTCTTTTTTCTTTTTTTTTTTTTTTTTTTTTGAGGTGGAGTTTCACTCTTGTTGCCCAGGCTGGCTGGAGTGCAATGGTGCAATCTCGGCTCATCACAACCTCCACCTCCCGGGTTTAAGCAATTCTCCTGCCTCAGTGCCTCCCAAGTAGCTGGGATCACAGGCGTGAGCCACTACGCCCAGATAATTTTGCTTTTTTTTTTTGAGACAGTCTTGCTCTGTCGCCCAGGCTGGAGTGCAGTGGCGTGATCTCAGCTCACTGCAAGCTCCACCTCCCAGGTTCAAGCCATTCTCCTGCCTCAGCCCCCCAAGTAGCTGGGACTACAGGTGCCCACTACCACACCCAGCTAATTTTTTGAATTTTTAGTAGAGACGGGGTTTCACCGTGTTAGCCAAGATGGTCTCAATCTCCTGACTTCGTAATCTGCCCGCCTTGGCCTCCCAAAGTGCTGGGATTACAGGCGTGAGCCACTGTGCCCACACTAATTTTGCATTTTTAGTAGACACAGGGTTTCTCCATATTGGTCAGGCTGGTCTCGAACTCCTGACCTCAGGTGATCCACCTGCCTCAGCCTCCCAAAGTGCTGGGATTACAGGCGTGAGCCACAGCACCCAGTCTCATATTTCATTCATTCTAACATATCTAAGCTGAGCTTTGAGGAGAAAGTGGGTGACAGGGAATCTACAGCCAAGACAAGTGATTGAGGAATTGCCACCCAAGTCTGTCTACCTAGGGCCCCCAGCTTCTCACCTCCTCCCAACCTCCCTGCCTGATAACCCTAGGGCCAGGCCCTCACCGCCTCCTGGAGACACACTTTGCGGAGCTCCTGAAGTTTCAGGTTCAGGGCCTCCTGCAGGGTCCGCTGCCGGTCAAGCAGCCCCCGCAGACGCTCTGACTTCACCTGGGGGGCAGCCTCTCCGAACAGGGCAGCTGGACACAGAGGGAGCAAAGATCAGTGGGACAGCCAGGGCATTCTGGAGCAGCTGTGGAGCAAGGGACTGACTCTTCCCAAGCAAGCAGGTGGTGATTTAGAGCAGGGGAGAGGGCAGCAGGAGGGGAAGGAGCCACCGACCTGGGGCATTGAAGGTAGGAGAGCTGATCAGCTGACCTTTGACTTCCATCTTGGTGCTGTAGAGAGGCCGTGGCTGACAGCTGGACAAAGTCTGGCAGTGACACACAGAAGCCATTAAGGAAGCACGTCCCATGATACCCCAACCCCCAGCCCTTCCCAGCTTCCCATGCCGCAGCGGGGAATAAGGGGTAACCTGGGCCCCACGTGCCTGCTTGACCTGCCCTTTCAGAATCCGTGTGGATGTCTGGACCCACTTGGCCCTGGTACCTTGGCCCTGGTTCCCTTCGCATTGAGTGGGAGCACAGCAAGTGGGGAGCTGGGCGGACTTACAATGCCTCCTCAGAGGCCCATGGGTCACAGCCACGAGTCTTGCCTGGGGAAGGAGAATTAATGGGACAGATTCAACCAACTATAACAACAATGGACATGCAGTCAACACCTGGGTGCCTGCAACAGTTACCTATGATGCCACACTAAATCTTCAGAGCCACCCGGAAAGATTCGTATTCCCATTTTAGAAATGAGGATAGGCAGGCACAGAGGTGAAATAACTGGCCCACAGCCACAGACATAACCCAGGCCCACCCCTCTGGTCCTACACTCTCACTCATGAGAACCGCTCTAACTCCACCAACTTCCTCATAAGCTCCCTGGTCCCTCAGGCCTCAGGGTCTTTGCCCAGGCTGTGGCTGCTGCCTGAAGTGCTTTCTTCAACCTCTCACCACCCCAGCCCCTGCATCACACTTATCATTCTAGAGCTTAAATATCACTTCCACAGTTATATCCTCTCATAAACGGTTGTCCAACAAGAGATTGTGCCTCCTGGAACATCGACGAGGACAGGAAACATTATCTGTCCCATTTTCATCAGCATCACCAGCACCCTGAACACGGCTGTACACAGAAGTGCTCAATGAATGGATGCCAGCTGAATGAGTAACAGACGGAGTAAACGAATGAGGCGGCAGTGGAGCCAGGGTTCAAGCGCAGATCTGTGGGTCTGTGCTTGTCCCAACTCCATTCTGTAGCTCTAGTGCAGCAAAGAGAATGTTCACTTGACCCAGGGTCCCTCCAACTCCTCCCCCCATGACAGCCTGTCCTGAGCCTAGCGTAGGGAAGTCCTCCTGCTGGGATTTGTGAGAAGCAAAGTCCACAGCTGCAAATAACGAACCACCTGCCTCCTGCCTCCTTCTCTGCCCGATGGCTCGGCTGACCATGGAGCCTGCCTTGGCTGGCCACCCCTCCTCTGGAGTTTGCTCCCTCCCTTCCACATCATGCTCAGTCCCCAGCAGGGCAGCCGAGTCATATCACCTCCCACCACCTGGCCTAACCTAGGTGGCAGGTGACTGAGAGGGCTTTATGGGGCCACAGAGTTCCCATTATCACCTACCTTGAAGTCGGTAGCTTGTCATGACATGTTAGCCTGGTGTGAGGAAGACCCAGCCAACCAAGGAGGCATGGGTTCAAGCCCCTTCCCCATCTGTATATTGTGGGGTGAGGTCAAGCTGATTATAAAGTGTCATGTTTCTCTGCAGTCCTCCTACCTGACTCATAGGGCATGTACCCCTCTCCTGAGGCAGTGGTGCCCTGCCTTCAACAGCAGGGGTGGGGATCAGTCCCTAAAGCCTTTTGACAAACCCAGGCCCCGGCAGAGGCATTCACATCCCCACTCATCTAAGGTCTGACATTTCCCAGCATGGCAGGGGTTCCTCGACATCCCAGCTCACTGGGGCTCCAACTTTCCCAGCCCCCATTTAGGCCCAAGGAACTCCACCCCCACAGGAACCCAACTCTGTCCATGGTTCCCCTTGCCAGCATTGGTCCCAATCCCATGCTGGGCTGCTTCAATTCTCTCTTTTTTTTTTTTTTTTTTGGAGACGGGTTCTGGCTCTGTTGCTTAGGCTGGAGTGCAGTGGCAAGATCTTGGCTCACTGCAGCCTCCACTTCCCAGGTTCAAGCAATTCTCCCACTTCAGCCTCCAGAGTAGCTGGGATTACAGGTGTACGCCACCATGCCTGGCTAATTTTGTATTTTTAGTAGAAACGGGGTTTCACCATGTTGGCCAGGCTGGTCTCAAACTCCTGACCTCAGGTGATCCACCCACCTCAGCCTCCCAAAGTGCTGGGATTACAGGCGTGAGGCACTGCACCCAGCCAATCCTTTCTTCTCTAGTTTCTCAGAGCGTCCTAGAAGTCCAGACAGGGTCCACACAGGAACCCCAACTCCTCCCTGTCAGCCCGACCTCGGGGGACATAGTTAGAGCATGAGTCATGGGGTCACTGGGCAGGCTAGACACAGTCAACGCCCCACACCCCCACACCCAGTTCCTAAGCCTCTGCCTCCGCTCACCTGCCCTCTGCATACTTGCCTTGGGGCCTCGTCCCCACCTAGATGGTGAGAAAGGGATCCCAGCAAACCCCTCCCCAGGACACCCCCACACCAACCCCAGGTCTCCCCGCACCAGTGACCCCATGGCCCCCATCCTATCCCAGGGATGAGCTGCATCAGGAGAGCAGCAGAGGGCACCCCCCCACATCCAGAGGCGGGCCCGGCAGGTTTTTCAGGTCTGCCATTCTGACACCACAGCTGAGAAAGAAATTCCTGGCTGTAATGACTGTTTACAACCAAGATACCTCACCTGGGTGGCACCCCAACACTTGGGGGGGCATTTCCACATCCTGCCACTATTAGAGCAAATACAAACTCTCAATGTCTGGGCCATTCCCCTCCCCAGAGCCCTCGCTTCCTCCACTGTAGTGAACAAATCAGGCGTAGGCAGGCAGGTGCCCGAGTAATGGTTTCTTAGTAGCCCAGTCTGGTCTTTCTTGGGGAGCTGGGCCCTGGGTTGGGGGAGGACAGAGGCTACTCCTGGGGGAGGAAAGGAAGCAGGGATAGGGTGGAGAAGGGGGGACTCATACTTCTCTTTTCCCCGATTCCTCCTCATCCATTTCCGGCCAGGAATCAGCTCGGTGCCAGGAAAGGAAATTGGTGTTTTGGGCTTTGCCCCTGTCCTCAGGCCCTCCATTCTCACTGCCCCCACACACCGCCCCCCCCGTCCCCCGCCACCGTGCCCTGCATTGTTGGTGTGCCTCTTCCACAGACCTGGCTCTCTACCGAAGGGAACTTCAGTACACACTGCCCCAGCTCCCCAATGCCCTCATCCCCCTCGAACCCTGGGCCCACTGCTCCCAGGTGCTCACCAATGCCAGAGAGTGCTGTGGGGTAGCCTCAGATACCTCAAAAATAGTTGTCTCGACCAGGCCCTGGCTCCGGCTGGTAGTGGCAGTGAGCAGCAGTGGCAGATGCCTTGGCCACCTCCCACTAGGTAATGGCCCAGCCTACCTGGCCAGGAACTAGGCCGGCCCACACCTTTTAACCCTTGCCTGTCTGCCACCAGGACTAGGGTCACCCCTGGGGGCAGTTTCAGGGCCAGGTCCACTCAGGGTGCCCAGCATGTCTAAGACAGCCTGGGCCAGGCAGGGTAGCTGGTGCCTGTAATCTCAGCACTTTGGGAGGATCGCTTGAAGCCAAGAGTTCAAGGCCAGACTATGCAACATGGTGAGACCCCCCCATCTCTACAAAAAAATTTTAAAAAACTGGCCAGGCATGGAGGCATGTGCCTCCTCACCCCGTACACTTAGCAGAAAACTGGGAAGAAGGGCTGAGAGTGGTGGGAGTAGCAGCTGCCTCTCCTACTGCCCAAATTCCCAGAGGATTAGACGCTGCCCACCCAAGGGACACCTTGGATCTGGGCCATAGAGGTGTAAAGTACATGGGAGGCTTCGGGTGTAAACTGGGTTTTTGTCTCTTGGCAATAAGCATCACATTCTGAGGCCCCTACCCTTTCCTCCCAGGGCAAGGCAGTGGTAGGCGGCCTTGGGGCAATTCCCACCCTCACTGGGGAATAGTTTCCCAAGTTGGGAACAGAGGAAGTCAACCTTTCTAAGGAGAGGCCAGGTCTCAAGATCCTTCTGTGGCTCCAGAAGAAATAATCTCAATAAATCAAGTACAACTTACGCCCTACAAAACACTTATGGGTTTTGACCCTTCTTGGTTCCTACAAATGTAGGAGGATGGCACAGACCCAGCCTCCTCACAGCCATTGTATAGATGCAGAAGCTGAGGCTTGGAAAGGTGAAGAGGCCCAATTCAGATCACAGTGGCAGAAGAGCAGGTGAAATCAGAATTTTCAGGGACTGGGTCCTGGCTGGGAGGCAGACAGAGGCTACTCCTGCTAGTGGGGAAGAGAAGTAGGGAAGGGGGCTCATGCTTCTTCACATCCATGCTGGGTCTCTCTTCTTCGGAGAGTTAGGCTTCATGCCAGAGAAGGAAATGAGAGCTTTGAGTCCCTACGATGTACTGTTCCTGCCTCCCCTCACCCAGCCCACCACCACCACCACCACCACCACCACCACCACCTGGGCTCTGGGCCAGTCTCGGCACACAGCACACATCCTTTGCTCCCTTCAGGACCATCTGCTCTGTGACCTCAGGGCCCAAGCCCCACCCAGCCCCCTGCAGCAGCCCACACCATGGCCTGAAGTGAGGAAAGCTGCAGATGGGCCAAGCCTAGAGAGGAGCTCACTCTGAATCAGCAATGCCCCGGACTCACACTATTAAGGCCTCCCGCTATCCCTGCCCACCTTTCTTCCTGGGTGTGAGATTTTCAGCATGGAACACAAAGGCCCCTTTCATGGCCCTCCCCCCTTCACTGCCTGGGGCTGGTGGAGGCGGGCAGTGGTAAGGTGGGCATTGAGTGTCTGTGGGGAGTGTCCTCTCGGCCACAGCCTCTCCCACCTCTTGTGGGCCACCAAGGATGTTGGGAAGCGGGACAATAATAAAATCAGAGCCAAGAGGGATGAGAATCTGGCTGGCAATGTAGATTGAGTCTTAAAGCTTAGGTCTCCTCATCTGTAAAATGGGTAAAAGGCGGTTACAGAGACAATGGAGGCCAAGTAACTTTGAAAGGCATTTCAAAGTGCAAGGAAACACACCATGTCATTAACGACTGTTACTAACAACAATTAATACACTCACACAGAGGTGGGCTGTTGTGGGGGTAACTGGGGGAGAGCAGGTAACCGGACCTCCTGGGCCAGGCAGACAAATGGGGCAGAGTCACTAGCACACATCATTGCCCTGGTCCATGACTTTTAACAGCCTCGAAGACGACCCAACCTCTAAGCCCCATCCCAGCTCGGTCCTGGGCCTCACGTGACCCTGGTATCACTAGTAAATGGTGAGTCTGGGATTCAACCCAGTTCTGCCACTTACTGGCTGTGTGACTGCTTGAACAAGTCACTTAACCTCTCTGTGCCTCTCTGTCAATTGGGAATGATGATAACAGTATGTACCTCACGAGGCTATTGTGAGCATTAAATCAGTTAATACATTTAAAGCTTGTGCAGAACAGTGCCTGGGAAGAGCTCTGTTTATGTTGGCTGTCACACTTACAAGTATTCTTCCCCACAGGAAGTCAGGAATCAAGTAGATACATTCAGATACATTTTTTCCAGACAGAGCTAGTGTCCTTCAGTCTCACTTGATACATTTGAAACAGTTGTTTTTCCTCAGATAACTTGTCTGAACTCTTGCTATCCAAAATCAGAGACTAAATGTATTCAAACGCAATTTTTTTTTTTTTTGAGACGGAGTCTCGCCCTGTCACCCAGGCTGGAGTGTAATGGCATGATCTCGGCTCACTGCAACCTCCATCTCCCGGGTTCAAGCAGTTCCCTGCTTTAGCCTCGCGTGTAGCTGGGATTACAGGAGCCTGCCACCACACCCGGCTAATTTTTGTATTTTTAGTAGAGGTGGGGTTTCACCATCTTGGCCAGGCTAGGCTTGAACTCCTGACCTTGTGATCCACCAGCCTCAGCCTCCCAAAGTGCTGGGATTACAGGCGTGAGCCACTGCCCCCAGCCTCAGATCCATTTTTGAGACAGAACTAGTATCCCTCAGCTTCCAAATCCTACTTGCTAACTAGACACGGTACCCTTCCTGCTCACCAAATGAGACATATTTGAAACAGAGCTGTTTTCCCTCATGATTCAACCTGTCCTTTCTCAACATAAAAAATGCAGGAACCAAATACATTCAGAGAAACTGTCTGAACTCTCACCATACAAATGCAGGAACTGAATGGATTTAGAAACATTTTTGAGATATGACTGGTATCCCTCATTCTTGAACTTTCGTTACTCTCCAGGCAAAATGCAGGAACCTTTACATAACAGGATATCCTCACTATCCCAACTCTTGTCCCTGGAGCTCAGGAAAGTTCATAGATTTGGATATATTTTTGAGTTAAAGTCATTATTCTTCATTATCTCAATTTTCCCCACTCACTATGTAAGATGTGAAAACAAAATACCTTCAGATAACTTGGTAGGTTTCACTGTCTGAACTTCGGGCGCTCTCCCTCTCAGAATTCAGGTACCAAATAGATTGGGACAGTGAGGAATGCTTGTGTTGTTATCAATAGGTTTGGATAGATATTCAGGATAAATAAGATAGGTCTGGCATCTTGTTATTCAAACTCACTAGTCTCTGTGAGAAATGCAGGAACGAAACCTAATTGAGTAACACATTACCCTCTAGCCATCCAAGTTCTCCCCATCATCCTCAGAATCAAGGAGATTCGGACAATGAGGGGAACCCTGCATTATTGTTGTTACTGTTACTACCGGACAGGCCTGATTCTTACATCCAGTGACTGCCTGGCCTTCTCTCCCACAGACAAGCCCCACAGAGGTGGGGTGGACTTAGCACCAAGATTTTTATTGCTTACTGCTGAGAGAAGGAGGATGAATCCTTGACCCCATCCCTCCTCTATACCAAGTCCTGAAGCCTTGGCCTAGAATAGACTTCTTCTCTTTCAGGCCAGGAAAACAGGGATCATGCACCCAGAATCAAGACCAGGGAATAGGGGTAACATGGCCTAGAAGATTCATACATACCCCAGCATCCCCCATCTCTTCATATTTTCTCAACTCTTCCCCACAACGTGAGGCAGTCCCCAACACAGCAAGGCTGGAAACATGACCCAGACCTCTCAGACTCCCAGAGAGTCACTGAATAATTTAGGGTATTCTTTCACACTTGCAGAGGGCAGCAGCGTAGAACAGTGGCATGCCCTCCTGGGGCAGGAAGAGAAATGTAAGCTCTATGTGAGATCACTAGGGTGGGGGTAGGGGAGATCACACACAAAAACCCCCATCAGCCACGCAGGGTGCATAGGGCTGCTTGCTCTTGCTAAGAGAAGCATTTGGGACGTACTTCAGAGGTCCTGGTAACAGCAGAATCTTCAAGTTCCGGGCACAGTATAATGGGACCCCTGTCCTGGGCTCAGAAGGGATGGCAAGTGTATACTAGGAAAGAAGAAGATCTGAACAGGGTGGAGGGGCATGGTAAGGGGGAGAACAGCCTGGGGCTGGGATGGGAAGGGACAGAACAAGAAGGAGCGTAGGGGACAAGATAGAACCAGAGTTATTGCAGGATGGAGGTCAAGAGGCAGGATGGGGAATGAGCCAGGACACTGGCCAGGGGATGGGATAAGGTAGGGTTCAGGACAAGGGTCAGAGAAAAAGTACAAGAAAGAGACAAAACAGCAGGGCAGACATGACTAGGAAAGGCTAAGCCAGTGGTCAAATGAGGGGACAGGGAAAAGGGCAGGTTCAGGACGGAGGTCAGGAACAGGAAAAGACCAGGACACAATGAGGATAGGAATGAGTATGGTGATAGAAAAGAGGGAAAAACAGGACAGAGTCAGGGGCAGGGACAAGGCAGGAGACGGGGGTATTTAAAGGTGGTGAGCCAGGATGCAGATCACGAGTATATAGGAGAGGATATCATATAGGGTGCAGAGAAAGGACAGAAGTTAGAGGGCAGGAATCAGGACAGAACTAGACCAGATTGGGGTTAGGGGGACAGGACATGACTGGTAGAGGTTCAGAGACTGGATAAGAGTTTAGGGAACAGACAAGTCAAGCGTCAGGACAGAAACCGGGGTCAGTGTTGGGCATTAGGATAGGGCAAGATGTTTCAGAGATGAGACGGGGTCGGGCAAAGATCAGGATCAGGTCAAAGATCCCCAGGACAGAACTGAATGCGGTCTAGGGTCAGGACTGGATTTAGGGGGAACAAAACAGGGGTTGAGGATCATACCAGGCCAGAATATGGTTAGGTCAGGGCTCTGACGGAAGGTACTGAGGCCAAGGCCAACAGGGGTTGAGGTTTAAAAAAGATGTAGTCAGGTCGGAAGGGGTCAGGGCTGAGGCCACGGGGTCAGAGGTCGCGGGTGCGCGCGCAGGTACGCCCCGTCG